CCGTTAACTCCGCCGTACCTGGTGGCACGCCGTGGCTAACGGAATGAGCAGTACCCTGCGCTGACTGACGCATTTCTACACACGCTCACGCGCCAGATATACAGGGTGTACCAGGAAACTCCACCCGTCCCGTGTATAGCAACGCACGGCTGTGCGCCTGTGAAACATTGTTTCGCTGTCGCAATTTCTCGTTGTGTGCTATATAATTTTCGTCAGTAAATTAAAGAACATTTTATCACACGTGACTTTCCTCTGCACTTTCAAAATGTTCTCGGATTGTTGTTATCGCAATCTGACACACACACAGAGAGAGAATAAAAACAAAAGATAAGTGATCTGTATCGGATATAAATAAATAAGTTAAAATATCATTTTACCGAAGTAACGATGATTGATACAAACAGCAGTACAGCGAGAAGTCGGAAAACGTGTATATATATAATGCGCAATAATCACTCTAGCGCCCTTGAGTTTTCCCTGCTCTAATTATTGAAGTCCCGCGACTTGAGAGATATCTAGTAAGACTTCGTGCTGTTCCAGATTTTCGAGTTTTACAACGTTACAATAAATCTTTTTTTATTTTATAATTTGATGAAAAAAACTTTAGATATTTCGTAATATTGTTTCATGTTTAGTCAAAATGTAGGACCGTACGAACTGTGAACCATTTTTTATTCTTTTTGTTTGACAGCAAATTCTATAGCTCTCTTTCTTCTGCCGATATTACAATCGATCGACTTCATCTTGAACTTGAAATGCGGAAATTTTGGCTAATTGATACAAAAACTCACGGACAAGAATGTTGTCTCCAGATAACGACGCGTCCTCGCCGCGTGATCTCTCTCTCTCTCTCCTTCTCTCCCTCTCGTTTTTCCATCGAGTTCGCTCCTTCCATTCTCCTTCCGCGCTACCATCTCTTCTCGCCTCGAAGTAGCGCGAAGGCGACGATCGCGATTGCGAGTCACGTAAATCGCGGACTCGAGGAATCGCGCGGATGTCGCAATCGCGGTAATATTCGCGCTGATCTTCCTCCCCGCGCTCACGCGCACGCGCGCGATAAAGAGGAGGAGCAGGCAGGAGACAGGCGAAAAAAAAAAAAAAAAAAGTAATAAGAAACGTGTTGCACCATGACGGAATCCCGGCACGAATGATTTCGCCAAGCGGACACGTACGATCCTTGAGCGCTGACTCAGCGGAATGTTCCTCTAATCGATCCGTATTTCTCGTCTTCTTGCGAACGCAGGAGAAATAATCGAAAGACGAAAGAACTAGGAAATATATATTTTAAAAAAGATATAAATGATGTATCAGCACACACAGGATGTGTAATCTCATTGCAAATGTAATTGCATAAAGATTTAAAATAAAGAAAATTGTGCATGTAAGTTGCGCGATACGCGCGGCAAAAGAATCAACGTTGTAAAGTTTTTAATTTAGAATAATTTACATAAGAGCGAGAAAATAATAAAAGAGAATAAAAAATATACAGAGAAACCGATATATATATATATATGCCGCGTATGGGAATAAACTCCGTCTTTTGATAAGCTGTGAAGTCGTCAGTTGCTGTTTGTCTTTGCGGAAACTCGCGAGTATCCTCGTAAAGTACGCGGAAGAAGAACGCAGGCGCGCAAGAGGAGATCGAGAGAGAGAGAGAGAGAAAAAAAAAAGAGAGAGAACCAAACATGCCGGAGACAACCGAATACGACCGAGGTCGGCCGATTCGCGAATCTGAGGAGGTCTGAAGCGCGCGCGGCGTGAGTTAGCGAATGCGAGTGCTGCGCGTTTGTTTGTCGTTCGTTTTGTACCTCGTACGGCATGACTACTCTCTGTCGCCGCTGATTACGCAACGTGTGGCCATGAGAGTTGCCCCGCGCTCGCTAGAATGCAGCCGCGTTCACGCGCTATGTCATCACTGAACTGGCGCGACTATCGATATCTCGCACACAATGTTTACAACAGATCGGAGCGCGTGTCCTAACCTTAAACCGGTCTCATTTGAGTGACCACATTTATCGGATGTGAGATAGTCAGTTTTAAATTTATTCAATACGAGATAATTATGTAACAACGCGCGCGTGTACGCATACACACGAATTTGCACTACATAGCGTAAAAAATTTATGTTCCACAAGTTATCGAAACTACGTAATGTACGCGGAATGATTTATAAATATCCGAAACAACGAAGAAATTTTCGAGCAGCATTGAACACATCGATGTTGTAAATAGGCTAACTTCGGCAAGCTGTCACAAACATTACTTGCTAATAATGAGTCAGCATGTGATATTTGTTTCTTTGAAGAATGAAACTTGTCAAACGACAACGACAATGTGATTTACCGTCGTTGTGCGTTGTTTTGGATATTTATCAATCGTCTCATTTCATTTCAGCTGCTGCAACGCTACAAAAATTATTTTTAATGCATTTGTATACGCTTACGCATATAGGAAAAATACTAATATATGTGTAATAAATAACTGATAAACATATAAAACTTTATTACATGACGTGTTTGCTGTGTGTGTGCAATATTGGCGAAAAATAGAAATCATTGAAACAACAGGAAAAAACATCAACGTATCGATATTTGTTACATAAAAGTGAGAAAATTTAACTACTATTTTTATATGAAATGCTTGTAGAGAAGTAAATTCTTGTTTTTTTTTTTTGACAGCACACACAGAAAGTAGGTCAATCGAGCAGAAGTCATCAAATGAGATTATATCGCGTGGAAGAATGTAAGCGATACTGCCGATTACAATGTGACTTACGTCATTCTAACAGAATTAATGAAATATTTTATGTGAAGCTTTTTTTATACTTCAATTCAAATCGTATTACAACACTTGCAGTAAATTCGTTAGTTTTGTATGTGAATATATAATTTTCTATATATATTCTATATATATTATAATGTTCTATAGTACACATTTTTATTATTTGCACTTTATCAGTTATATACATCACATCTTACATAGTAGTCAATTATTCTCGCGTGGGTTTGTTCACGATCGTGCGTGTGTGCGGCGTACGTATTACACCTGCGATCACATTGTTTGCGCTAGCCTATAGATGAGGTCATATTGAATTAATCTCACGGCGCTGTCGGTTCATATAAATTCATATTCATACTTTGGGACTTTCCTGCAATACGGCGCTGTGCGTTTCCTCGGTTAAAGGGAAAAAAAGAGAAAACCGGTCGTGTTATGCGAGTATCGAAGCGAATGAGTAAATACACGAGCGAACAGACTTTTTCATCCGGTGCTGGAACGGTTTTTAATTGCGCGGCTTGCGGTTTGAGAGGATGCAATTTATGCGCATTGTCGTAATCTGTAGATTTACATCCTCTAGTGATTTTTTTTTTACTCTTAGGACCTTCTTTCTGACAAAGTAAAGACATCTACACTCAAATTGTATCAGACACATTAGTGCGAAATAAAGAATTACCGTCTGTTACAAGAAATCTCAAAGTTAAAAAAAAACTCGGAGCCGTGTAAAATGTTTGTTAAATGTCTCTCTCTTTCTCTCTCCTTCCCCCTTTCTTCCTTCCCCTTCCTCTTTCGTTTCCTTCCTCGGTATTACTTCGTCTCGCTATAGTGTCAGTTGCCATTCACCGTGAAAAGAGCGTACATGTACTTACTCGTGGCTCTGGTCATCGTCAAGGTCGTGCAAGGTCGCACAACCATTCTGCATCCATACACGCCATATGCAACGCATGTGCATGTGTGCAAAAACAGGTGGACGATATCGAGTACAATTCGATTTCTAATTCGTTGTTAAACAATTCAATATATTTTGAGAATAGTGTATAGAGATATACACGAGAGAGCACGAGTGGTCAACATATGCATTATTTTTCTCTTCTCTTTTAATCTCTTTGCGTAAATAATAGACTGTGTTCAACAAAATTTAGTTTTCTTTTTACTTTATTTATATCAGTTTTTTCACACTTTCATAGTAAACGTTTTATCAATAGTATTATTATTATTTTTTGTTTTTTGTTTTTTGTTTTTTGTTTTTGTACATGTAGTTGCATACATGTACATGGGTAAGGTTGCGCGCGAAGGCAAGAGCGGGTCCAGGTATCGATCCGAATACGTAGAAAATACGCTATTGATTCTCGACCGACCTGAAAACCTGTTCTCTTTATGACGATATTTCGAGAGATTATTTTAATCTCTCTTTTACTCTCCTGTTATATCACAAGTAATGTACAGTTAGAAAACTATTGTAGAGACACATATGTATAATATAAATATTTTTGATACATTTAAATAAACATTTGTATGTGCGCGCTTTGCCGTGTTGAAAAATATAAAAGAAAAATTTATATTTATCGACAAAAATTAGTGCTCAAAAATACTTTTTTAATGTATAAAATATTTTATAAATATATATTATACAATATACAGTGTGTCCGACAATTGGTATAACATCTTTCGTACAGGAGTAAAATTGAGTCGAAAAGTTCTATATCATTTTGCGAGATTCGCAATACTTACTCGAGATCTTAATCAACAAAGATCCCCGAATAAGCATCATGAGGCTGTCTTACGCGCGTAAGACAGACCGGCGCGCTTACGGTGTTACTCGTGGCAACGTATGAGAGGAGCTAATATATTGCAACAGCATATACTATACATATACATAATAAAAGATAACAGCATGAAGCGCGCCGGGTTGTCTTACGCGCGTAAGACAACTCATTGCATGCTTATTCGCGAATCTTTGTTAATTAAGATCTTGGTAACTATTGTGAATCTTGCAAAATGGTATATAGGACTCAATTTTATTCCTTTTACCTGTCTACGAGAGATATTACACCAATTGTCGGACACCCTGTGTGTGTGTGTGTGTGTGTGTGTGTGTGTGTGCGCGCGCGCGTGTGTGTGTGTGTACATTTTACAAATGTACAATTTTATTTGGATCAAAATTGCATAAAATTGAAAAAGAAATAGAACGCCATAATATCGATATGCTACGATTTTGTTTGCAGATTACGAGTGAGACGTATACGATAAGTCTTAGCCGATGTGGAGCAGAACAGCACGAGGACGAGTCGTAGAAGAAGAAGCAGTAGAAATAAGAACAAGCGGTTTTGTCACCGTAGAGCGTGGTGGCGGTGTGAAAAAGCAGAAGAAGATACGAGATCGAAGTGGCGGCGGCAGCAGCAACAGCAACAGCAGCAGCAGCAGCAGCAGCAGCAGCAGCAGCAGTGGCAACAGCCAAGTCCCCCCATGTTAGCAGACATCAACGGCAACCTACGTTGTCCGGATCTGAGAAGCGAAGCGATGGCGTCGTCGCAGAGATTCTGTCTGCGCTGGAACAACCACCAGAGCAATTTGCTCTCTGTTTTTGACCAGCTGTTGCACGACGAATGCTTCGTCGACGTCACGCTGGCAGTGGAGGGCCAACTACTCAGGGCGCATAAAATGGTGCTGTCGGCGTGTAGTCCGTACTTTCAGGTATCAATTTATCTGTGTATGTCTCTTTCTTTTCTTTGCTCCCTTCTTCTCGCTCTCTCTTTCTCATAATCGATATTGTTAATAAATATTATTAATAAATATATATTCAGCAATAAGAACCTTGTACAAAATATTCAATGCAGAATTTATCTGCTTTTCGCAGTTTGTTGAAAAAATAAATATTTTGAATTAAATTGATACGTAAATTGCATTTGCAGGCTCTGTTTGCTGGCCACCCCGACAAGCATCCGATAGTCATTCTCAAAGATGTTCCATATGTGGACATGCGTAGTCTCCTAGACTTCATGTATCGTGGCGAAGTGAGCGTCGATCAGGACCGACTGACTGCTTTTTTGCGAGTTGCCGAGTCTTTGAGGATAAAAGGTCTGACCGAGGTGAACGAGGACAAATGTGATCTACCAAACATTACATCTTCCTTATTAAGCGGCAGTCAGAACGCGGTAGCTCCGCCGCCACCCAGCCTTCACCGGATCAATCAGATCGGCTCTTATCATCATCACTCGCAGAAGAGATTCCATCACATGTCCAATCATCCGTTGCTTGGATCGGCGCTGACAGCGCCTAAGCGAAAGCGTGGCAGACCTAGGAAGTTGAGCGGTTCATCAGACACACCAATCGGCGAAGTCGGTCAAGACATGCAGTCCTGCTCAGGTTCCGACTTGGTTCAGGGCTCACCCGAGATGATGGAAATGAAAATGGGATTGGACTTTCAGAGTGAAGTCACTGGCAACGGTAACGCCAGGAGTGGTAGTAGTGGATCTGCCAACAATGTTGGCGGCGCATCTACGGCAACCACCGGTAATACCAGTGGCACGACCTCCTCGGGGTCAACGAAAAGAGACGAGCCTACAGAAAACGGCACTGATGCAGAGCCGCCGGTCACACGGGTCAAGCGAGAACCAGAACCAACGCCCAGCACTTCGCAAGGTAAGAAACGAATAATATAGAATGATATGTAATTGAATTTAAATCTAAATTTGAAACTTGACGTTTTTCCATGTTGATTCTAGGCCCGGATGAAACATTTGCGCGGCCGCACAGTAGACAAGGAAGTGAAGGTTTCAAGCAAGGTAAGACTTATAGCTTCCCTAACTTTAATACGAAAACATTGCAACGTTTACATTTCCCCAATATAGTGAATGCCGAATTTAACCAATTTTTAATTGCGTAAATATGAGCATTTTCTCAGATATCTGTACGTTATAAGATCCTTTAGACTAAGAACTACGCGCATTTTAAAACTTTAACTGAAAAAGCTTCCCGGTGAGGAATTGAACTGGTTTCCTACGTGACAAGTGGAGATACTAACCACTATGCTATCTATACGATTTAAACATTAACTTATTAAATGATTATGCAATTATTCGCCATCTATTTTTATAGTAATTAATGACACAAGTTTTACAATAAATATGTAATATGTATGTAACGGAATATTATTAACTCCTTCAGATCTGGTTTGTTTTTATTGTATAAGAGATAAAGTTTGTTATAAAAGTTACTTATTTTTTATATCTTTAGATTTTATTAATGTATATAAATATTTTTATAACACATTTAGAAAACTTTATTTCTTTCAACTTTTAAAACAGTTTATACGTGTTTATATAAATCTGCCGGAGTTAATTTTGCATTTGAGAGATTCTTGAGAAGATGCATTAGTGCATAGAAATTATTCTGATTATTTTAGTAAAATTCGAATAACGGTTTAATAATTAACTTGAATAAGAGTCATAAAGGTAAGTGTCATAAAGTGTTGAACTATGATGAAATATAAGCGTCTAAGGATCAATCAATATTTAATAAGATAGCATAATTTCACAGATAAAAAAATTTCGTGTTAATAATACGCAAAATAAAATCGCGCATCTTACAATTAATACTCTATGACAATTAATACTCTACTAGACTTCTTAACATGGTGTGAATTGTGTCCCATAACGTGGGCATGGAGAAGAACGATAGATTATTTTTTAACATAGTATATATTTTTTATGCTAAGTCTAACACTTGAGAATGCTGCTTTTTTTTTTTTTAATTAAATAATAAAACTATATATATTTTTTTAAATGTACAAGATATAGATTGAACAAAAATAAATAATCATCCGATATTCTTCTCCGTGCAAACTTTATAAGGACAGGGAGGAATTTGCTTTTGTGCCGTCTAAACGCTTATTCGCCTCCCCTGTAAACGCGCCCTGAGGAGCAAGCAAGCAAAATGCCTTGTTTGGCATTATTGACGACGCTGTGGACTCTCTACGTGAGAATGACTTTTATAGCTCTCTCGCACGATTCGTCGAGGTCGATCGACGACGTCTGAGAATCTGAGAATTAGAGAAACCCGCCGATCTATCAATATATCTCTCGATTATATCCAGTACTTTAGGAACTCGCGTTGCATTTCGCAATGATGATGTTTCGCGCCAATCTAATCTTTTATCGCTGACGACACTTTTATTCTATGTGCTAATGCTTTTGACTTTTCAGAATTTTTTTTCTGAAGCTGCCTTGTCGCGGCTGCCAGTTGTCACCTGCAATCGAGCTCCTTTTTTTTTAATGGAGCTAGCCAGGATTCACGACAACATAAGTGTCAAATTTGTGGCAATTTATCGCGCGCGAACATTCTCAATAATCGTGATCCCGTTTCGAATCGTGGAACGTCATTCCCCCAGACTAAAAAGATATATTCGTTACTTTGATAATTCTCTCGCGAGCTTTGATGTTTTTCAAATCAAAACGCACATGAAAAGAAAGAATAAAGAATGAAAAAAAAAAAAAGCACTGTTCCGGCGCGAGAACAAATTCAGCATCCGGAAAAGCTTGCGTCTCCGAAAAAGAAGGGGGAAAAACAATCAAAAAAAAAAAAACAAAAGCAATTTTCTGATGAGGTAAAAAACAACAATTTTCTTTCTCAAAAAGTTAGCAAGTGGCGTGTCTAAACGTGTCGCCGCACGTCGTCGAACACGTATATATCGATGCGCGCGCGGCGTTCAAAGTGAAAGGAGAAAGAAATCAAAATATCGAATCGAAACATAAATCAAAAGATTTAATAAGAATAAGTGAAAAGACACACAAATACACACACATAGGAAGGGAGAGAGGGAGAGAAAGGAGAGTGTGTGAGAGAGAAAGAGGAAGCCGTTCCGTTAACAAGAGTTCGCGTTTTAGAAACCAGGATACCTACGCCATTTCCGAAAATAAAAAAAAAAAAACAATCGTGAACTCCCTTCTGTACAAAACACCTCCAAAAAAAAAACTTAATTAAATCTTTGAAACCCACACATTGCAGTCCAATGCCGCCAATTGTCCTCGCGCGTATACGATAAATATATATAAAAGACATCTAGATATATTATACATATATATATATACAATACGTAATAACCCATATATATATACTATATATAATTCTCACGTTCGGCCAATGTGCAGCGCTTCGTTCCTATCCGTTTTTCTCCTTTTCTCTTCTTTTTTCCCGGAGCATCATTATTCTTCTTGATATTCTTCAACTCTTGCCGCATCACATACGCTCTCTCTGTTTGATATCGCTCCGACCTAATAATTTAATCTAATTCTAATCCACTCTCCTGGGCCTTAACCCTAGTACTAACTTTTCCTCTACGTCTGTGCCATCTTTTGTTCATCATGCTCCTTCTCCGTACAATTGAGAAACGCTTCGCTGCCATTGGCCACAGTGGTAACAGGAGGGGGTGGAGCCAGCTTTTAGCGGTGCTTACTTTTTTTTGTTGTTGTCTGATTTTTACCTTGAACGCTGGTTAACTTTGTTTTACGCTCGCTTGTTGTGAAGAAAAAACAGAAGTCTTATTATTTTTTTTTATCGCGAAAAGACAGACAGTAAAGAGAAAGAGACAGAGAGAGGGATAGAGAGAAGAGATTGACACATCGAAGCTGATGATAATGATCAAGACGACGACGACGACAACGATGATGTTGATGATGATTATTATTATTATGAGTATGATGATGATGATTATATAATGATAATAATGATGAAAATGAAAATGAATAATAATGATTATGATTATAACGATGATAATGATAAGGAAATAGTAAACAACGGACAACACACATTGTCGATAGGTTTATCGCTCCCGCCTTCTCTTTGCGTTCTCGTTGCTCTAAATGATAATGACGACAATAAAAGAAGATAAATAGAGAGATAACAATAACAGAAACAGGATAGATTAAAATAAAATCTATGTACGTGTAAATGAAGAGGAATGGCAAGTGAAGAAAGAGAAGAAGTAATGTTGACGTTTCGGTTTTTTTTCTCTGTAAATATATGCACTATGAGAATACGTGCGCGAGAGGGTGCTTCGAAGATGTCGTCGAAGATGATCTCGTTTCGGTAGTGACCGTGGTCGCTTTATTCACTTTTGGCGCAGGTGAGTTGAGATTTTCTGAATCACCATCATTCGATCTCTGAAAGATTTAAGCTTTGCGCGGGGGAAGCGAGGGAATTAGGGAGGCCAGCCGCTAGAAAAAAAAAATAGTAAACCAAAAAAAAAACAAAGTCAAAATTATTGTATATAAATAGATAAAACGAAAAAAAAAAAAAAACGGAATTATTTCGAAAAGTGCCGAAGAGAAAGCCGAATGTAAAAGGTTATGACGTCGAAGGTCGAAAAAGCGGATAAACACACATAAATAGAAGTAATCATATGCATTTGTATCTCAAATTGTATAAAATATAATATATAATAAAACACGCAGAAAAAAAGAAGAGAATACATATCTTTTTTTTCTCGAGCGTCCTCGATCTCGATGGATCGTCTTCTCGTAGAGAATGGATAACAAGTTAGACTGGACTGGACGCACTGGACTGAAAGGAGTGTAAGCAAAGTGTACACGTGTGTCGTGCTGGTATAATTTATATGCGTGATTATCTGATGCATATACGGGTTGTTTGGGGAAATATCGTCCTTCTTGTTTGATCACAGATTCCAAGTGGAAGAGAAACTGTATTTCAACGAATCTTGCTTCTGTATGTTTCATCAGTGAAATTAATTAGCTTAACACTCGCATCGAGTTCGGCATTTGTTCGGAATGCGTGTAAAAATGTCGATAGACGTTGAAAAACGATCAAAGTTGAACGCGCGTGTTCATGGTGAAACAAGTACAGCACATGTTTCGCTTATCGATTTGCCGACTTTGATCGTTCGTCATTAAAAAAAAAAAAAAAAAGAAAAAAAAACAACCCTTTCGATGTTTAAACAACGGCGACGAGGTTTTAGTTTTCCTCTTCGGAATCTATGATTTAACGGAAGCATTGTATGTATGCACACGTGTGTGCCTGGGAATGCAAGCGTGTGTGAAATATTCAGTGAATGAGAGAGAGTATGTGGTGTAAGTGGTGCGTGCGTGGAAGACTTGAAGAATGCGTGTGTGTGAGAGAAAAGAAGAGCTGGAACTTATACGAAGAAGGACGAAAAAAAAAAAGTGATGTTAATTATTCGACTGGGAAGAAAGAATGTGTGAAAGTGTACGAGTCTGGGAAAGAACAGAAGGGCAAACATAAGTGGGAGCGGGGACGACATAGAGAGAGAGAGCGTGTCGCAGCGTAAAATATCTTTTAACACGGGGACAGAAGTTGACAGACGGCCGATTCAAAACACGGTTGACTCTTTTTGCTGGCTCTACCCTTCCTCTTGCTTCCCTCCACAAATATAGAAATGCATTGTGCCAATACAGTATATCATATACAGAGATACATAATCACCAATGTGTGGTAGAAATCCGTTTATCAGAAATCAATCCATGGACGATCCGTGCGCAGTGTGGAAGTTCAGGCGACAATTATATTCTTACACCACAGTGCTCGCCAAGTCACGGCAAATGAAGGACCGTGGTCCAAGAGCTAACGCATTTCGATTCGTACTAAATCCCACTCTTCTCTCGTTCGACGCTAGAACGAGAGATATATCGATGTAGATTTGGTCCTCATTTATCACGACTCGGTGAGCACCGTCTTATACAATCGTAAGATGCAAAAATTTTGCAAATATAAGAGGTGTGCAATATTGACGTGTATGTACATACATAACAAA